GGAACAATGGAGCGAGAGGTTGATAGGCGGATAGGTGCAGCGTCGGCAGTGAAGCGAGCGTTGTACCGGTCTGTTGTGGTGAAGAGAGAGCTGAGGCAAAAGGTGAAGCTCTCAATTTACCGGTTGATCTACGTTCCTACCCTCATCTATGGTCATAAGCTTTGGATTGTGACAGAAAGAATGAGATCACGGATATAGGTGGCCGAAATGAGTTTTCTCCGCAGGGTGTCTGGGCTCTCCCTTAGAGATAGGGTGAGAAGCTCGGTCATCCGGGAGGGACTCAGAGTAGAGCCGCTGCTTCTCCACATCGAGAGGAGGCAGTTGAGGTGGCTCGGGCATCTGGTTAGGATGCCTCCTGGACGCCTCCCTAGTGAGGTGTTCCGGGCACGTCCCACCGGGAGGAGACCCAGAGGAAGACCCAGGACACGCTGGAGGGACCATGTTTCTCGGTGGGCCTGGGAACGCCTTAGGATTCCCCCGGAGGAGCTGGCCCAAGTGGCTGGGGAGAGGGAAGTCTGGGCCTCCCTACTTAATCTGCTACCCCCATGACCCGACCCCAGATAAGCGGAAGAAAATGGATGGATGGTTAAAATACACCAAAATGCAGGAAATGGCATCTACTTTATTCAAAAATTTAAAAGGGAGGACGACCTACAAGCTCCCTCCACTTCCCCTGCTTCCCCCCCTCCTCCGCTCCAAATCCCCGCCCACCATTTACGTTCCATCATCAATCGGTTTACAAATTAAGCCTTGGTTATACATGATGCTTGATTGTTTTGGATGGGTGGGCCCTCTTTGCATGTGTTAAAAGCCTATTCTGAGATTCCACATGAGGTTGGCTTGAAACCAGTGGTGTAGTCTACGGGATACACGGGTATATGGAGCATACCCACTAGAAAGGCTTAAGAATTTCAGTATACCCACTTAAAAGTGCCCAGTGATACATGACATATCATTAGGCATGTGCCATTGATATGTTAAACGGCAGTTAAACGCTTCCGTAACAATCTGTATGCAGCGCTTGTTTATTACATTCACTTATCCAGCAAATTATTGTATAATTCTGTACTTACTACTTAATATTTGAACATGTTTTGCTTTGATACTGTTTTATAAATTCTATAATATGTTTTTAATACAAAGCCAACTGTTGTACAAAGTTTGTTGTACATTTATTCAAATTTAAGCATCAGAGAACTTTGGAAATGTTCAATATGCTTAAAAATCAAAATAAATTGACGATTACGTTGTACTAATTGGTGTACTTTGGTTTCTAAGCACAGTATACCCACTACAAAAATGTAGACTACACTACTGCTTGAAACACAGCAGTGAAGGCTACTTAAGGGACAGATCTGGTTGGCAGGCTGCAGACTGACTAAGTCCTCCAGATGGGAGACGAAACATTTCTCACTTATTTACATGATTTAATCTTTTCTGTTGTTCACTCATCAACCTCTTTCTACGTTGTGCTTTTTAAAGAGCTTATATGTATAGTTTTTAGACTGTGTGGATTAGAACAAAACCTACAGTACATTCAAACTTGTGGACCCAGTCTCGTCATTGAAGTGCTACGTTGTATAATCATCCCACAAGCAAACAAAGGTTCATATAAAAGTGTGTAAAGTTTTAAAACATTCCAAGAAGTTTGGAAAGTTCTTGAAGCATACAGATCAATTCCAGAATTGTTGCCTTTGAACCTTGAGCTGGCGCCACATGAGATTGAACTCAAAGTGTCATGATTGAAAGGGTCCTCAGGAAACCATTGTTACCTAACACAGTTAGTGGCAACATGCAAAAATTCAACTCAAAACTTTTAATGGAAGGTAAAGCCATGTAGTACCTCTGAATCAGTATCCTTGATATATTTGGAAGATGACTATAAAGACAGTGGATGTTTAGTGCTGGATCGAGTGCATGCTTTATTGAAACCTGAACAATACCAATGACACCATCTAGACTAGAAGCTCTTAAAACTTTCTACATCCATCCATCATCTTTATCACTATCCAGCTATCACTGTGCGAGAAGCGGGGTACACCCTGAACAGGTCGTAAGTACATAACACGGCCTCATAGGGACAAACGAGACACAACCGTTCACACCTAGGGACAATTAAGATCTACCAATCAGTCTTTGCTTGTTTTTGGTTTGTGAGAGGAAACTGGAGCACCTGGAGAAAACCCATGCAGGGACGGAGAGAACATGCAAACTTCCCCAAGAAAGAGCCCCTATCTGGCAACCTTCTCACTGAGAGGCAGCAGCTCTACCAACTTAGCCACCGTGCCACCCTTTTTCGCATTTAACCCACAAAATAAATAGAGCAGAGAAGTCCATCAAAGTAAAGTCAGGTCCTCTGGACTGTTTCTTTTTGTTGAATCATTTTGTCTTTCATCCAAAAGACTTCATCAGTCCGAGAAACCACAACAAACTCAGTCTTATAAATGGAACCTTCACATAGCAGAGAACTATTTAAACCCAATAACATACACAGACTCGTTCAAGAGCCTCATCAAACATTATAGAACCTACAGTATTATGCATTTCTGACCACTTTTTTTTGCAACAGTTAAGGATAAATATGCTATTGGTAATAATTTTTTAAAAGTTTCTCAAAGATTTTCTCATGACCTAAATGTCGTCCCAACCTCAACTTTGAGAACAACTAATGTAGCACGTTTATAAAAGGCATCATTAGTGATGGTTTAGGGCTCTGTCATAGCCCATCACTTAGTATTAGTGATGCAGAGGTGTATATTACAGTAAGGTGCTTTCACATGACACCTTAGAGTGATATATGATGGCGTTTTAGGGACACGCTAAGAAAAAAAAATTAAAAGCCATAAGATTACGAGAAAAAAGTCGTAATATTATGAGAATAAAGTCATAGAAATACTTTTTTTTAACAGCTCTCATTTATTTATTTTATTTTCTATGAGTCGGATCCATGACATGCCCTGTCAGTCAATCCAGTAGGCGTGTCAGCAAATTACCGATCCGAAGCTAAATGCTCCTTACCTGCAGAGAACTGCTGCAGCCCATCAGAGTGTATCACCTTACTGTAAGCAGGTTCAAAGTCCGGATAATGATAATAATCTGATGCTGGTGTGCTAACAGATTAACTATCTCCTTATTTGTAAAACCAATACCAAAGTATAACTTAACAAGATGCTCAACATTCTTCGTTTTACCACAGTTAAAAGGCGGTAAACTCTGCTTTATCATGTCGGAGTTCGGATAATATTACAACTCATTTGGTTTCGGATTGGTCATTTGCTGACACATCTACTGGATTGATTGGCAGGTTGCGTTGTGGATCTGACTTGCGGAAAAAATCACGAGAGCTGCAAAAAAAAATGTATCGTACGACTTTATTCTCGTAATGTTAAGATTTTATTCTTGTAATACTACAACTTTATTCTCATAATTGTATGGCTTTTAATTGTTTTTTTTCTTAGCGTGGCCCTAAAGCTCCATCGTAGAGTGGGACTTAGACACGCATTCAAGCCGCCTTGGTTCAATTTCTGAATGGACCAAGGCTGTTAAGGGGGTTGTAGCTAACCCACACCTGATGTGTCTTTGTGCTCCAAAGAGAAGTAGTAACAGAGCCAAAAAGAGTAAACCTGTGAAAAGATAAGCCTGCTTTGCGACTCGGTAAAGTGATGAAGTGATGACATATGGTCTGTGCAACCCAGTTGTGAGTGTATCGACAAACTGATTTATTACCAAGGAAAGGTTGATGACTCACTGCACCTTCAAAGTCAGTTTCTTTATTGTCATTAGCACCACATGAGGTAAGTGTGGTGGAATGAAATTGTGTACACAGGGTCCCAGTTACATCCAACAAATGTATAAATTGTAAAGAAAAACAGTAATAAGATCTAAGATATGAACTAAGAAATACGCTAAACTAAAATTTAGAGATGCAGCGATCCGATACCAAATATCGATATCGGACCCGATATAAAAAAAAACTTCTTGATCGGGTATCGTGATGATGTGACCGATCCATAACTGGGCAGATCTATTCACTCTAATTCTATGCTTTGTGCTCTGAGTGACTTCACACGCTAGCAAACTCACTGCACAGATTGTTTTCAAAATGGAGCGAGCGAATGGATCAGCCATCTGGAACTATTTCAGACTGTCACTAAAACTTCCAATTATAGCACTATCAACTTAATCAAGCATCTCCAGAGTTTGAACGGAATTCAGCACAGTTTTTCTGTATCAGATCGGTATCAAATAGGTATCGAATCGGCATCGGCCGAAGTTGCAAGTATCGGTAGTGGAAAAAGTGGATTGGTGCATCCCAACTAAGAATACACAAAGCACCAGTAGTGCAAAACAATAAACCGAGCAACAGCAGCATGAACTTGGCATTTAGTTAAAAAAAAATAGTTAACCACAAAGAAATAAACTCAGTTATTTTATCAAGTTTTAAAAACATTACGAGGGAGACGTTTGTCACACATTGTGTTTTGCTCTAGTGCAACCCAGCTGAGTTCTCTTCCACGCCTAGTTAGGTTCCACGATGCTCGCTTCATTTCTAAAAGCTCATGTTTTTGCAGGATGTGCCAGACTCCATCTGTGATTTACGAATGGCAAGAAGCAGCATATAGACAGACTGACCTGTGCGGCCATTTTGCGTAACTGTTTTATGAAGGAGCCTTTATGCTGACAATAAAGTGACGTCTTTTCCAAAGAGTTGAAGGAAGCCAGACGTTGTCCTGGATAACTTCAGGCAAAGTGGCTTTGTAAAATGTGTGCCTTGTTGCAAAGGATGGAACTTTGGTGCTTGTAGCTTGTAAAAAAAAAAAAAAAAAAAGTTGTTTTGAAAATAGCTAACTGATTTCTAAAAAAAAAATTGTATCTTCCTGTATTTTTATGTTTTTTTGTAGAACTTGTCTGCTTGTTTACTCACTTTCTTATTCTTTCTTCAATTTGTTAATAGTTTGTCCCCTTTCTTTTATTTATTTATTTCCCTTTTCTCTTCCCAGACTGGCAGGTTGCCACCCTAGCCTTGTTGCTAGGGGGCGGAGCCTTGGTGCTGATGTCGTTTCTGGTTGCTTTGGTTGCCGTGTGCATCGGCACAAGACGGCGGTTCTACGCTCCTGTTGCCTTCATGCTGTTTGCTGCAGGTCAACACACACCCACACGCACACACGCACACACACAATCAGATCACTTAATTAGTTAATTAAGATAAAGTAGCTGGAGGGCTGCAGGGTAATCATTCTAACAATTCAAACGCGCTTGAATAATAATCCTTACTTCCTCGTGTAATAAAATAGACACACACACGTCCATGTGCTCGCTCAGTCACACACATTTCCACTCTTTTCTAAATCATTTAGAGAAAATCCTGTTTTTATGATTTGGGCTTAAATGTGGCGTCACGCCTGTCGAATTAATTTCCCCGGCCTGCCCTCATCCGAAGCCGCAGGATCAGTTCTAGAAGTAGTGGATAATTTTAAAATATTTAAGCACAGAATGTTTAATTAGTGAAAAGCCGGTTTGAAAAGTGTTTTTTCTCAACTTTACCAGTTTAACCCTCTAAGAACAACAACACTAAAGGATAAATCATATCTTGCATGGATGGTTTAAATATGTGGGCTGTGTAGTTCCTCATGAAACTAAGAGCTTTCTCATAATAAATACAATAAATAAAACCATCTTCTTTCAGTTTTGTGGTTTTATGTATTAGGTCATAATAAAAATGACTCAGTTTTACAATATTCAAACATTATTCAAACATTATTCAAATGTAACCTCAAGTGTGCAAAAAAGCACACACTACGCTATCTTATTATTTATTAAACAAACAAACAAACAAGCAAAAACAAAAAGACCAAATAAAAATGTTTTATTTAAAACAAATGTGTCTACCACAATGCCAAGGAGGAAGGATGTTAGCAGTGACCAAAGAAACAGCTATTGCTCCATATCAGTTTTGGAAGAACTTCTTAGAAGATTAACCCATAGCTTCATCAATCCTAGAAGCACAGCGACGTCTTTTGATTTTTGTGTTTATATTTCATACCCATTGTGCAAGATTTATGCTCAAACTCCGCGCCTTGTTTCCTGTTTTTTGTGTATTTTTGTAGCAGCTCCACAGCGCCACACAGAGGCCTGCAGCATTATAGGTCACTTTTGGTGTTCATGTTTATGAAGACATTTTTATTTTATCCATCCATCCGTCCATTATCTTCCACTTATTCTGAAGTCAGGTCTCGGGGGCAGCAGCTTGAGCAGGGAGGCCCAGACATCTCTTTCCACAGTCACCTCTTCCAGCTCTTCTGGGAGGACCCCAAGGTGTTCCCAGGCCAGCCGAGAGACATAGACTCTTCAGTGTGTCCTTGGTCTTCCCTGGGGTCTCCTCCCAGTCGGACATGCCCGAAGCACCTCTCTTGGGAGGCACCCAGGGAGCATCCTTAACAGATGCCCGAACCACCTCACCTGGGTCCTTTCAATGTGGAGGAGCAGTGGTTCTACAACGAGTCTCTCCTGGATAACTGAATTTCTCGCCCTATCTCTAAAAGAGAGTCTATCCTGCAGAGGAAACTCATTTCAACCGCCTGTATCCGCTATCTCATTCTTTCGGTCAGAGTTCATGACCATAGGCGAGGGTAGGAATGTAGACCGACCAGTAAACAGATAGATTTGCCTTACAGCTCAGATCTTTCTTCACCACAACGGACCAGCACAGAGTCCTCAATACTGCAGGCGCTGCAGATATTTTTTTAAATGATAAAAAGGTTGTTTTGGATTTGTTTTCATGAGGATAAGGTCGTCAACTCTGGCATGAATGGTGGCAGGCAATGCTTTCCTTCAAGGAAATTGACTGCTCAGTTTTCTGTTTTCAGAAATTTGAAACTTCAGTAAGAAACGTTTCCTTCTTGCCAAACACTGTATATACTCCGATGTGCTAGGTATCCTTATAAGAAGATGCTTTTCAATTCTATTGGAGTAGTGTTTATAATGTTATGGACAATCACAATCTGGTTGAAAGAGCACAAGGTTAAACATTTTCCTGCATGCTTGTGTTTCTAATGTCAGATCTTTATTGGGGACTGCCTAGAAAGGCAGCCACCTCTTATTAACCACCTGAAAAGGGTCTTGCTCTTCTATCAACTTTAATGTGGCCTGACTACAACATGTACCCCCACAAATTTTTTATCACCATGATGTGTGCTATTGCTTTTATTGGCGTTTCGCATTACCACGGTGACTTAAAATGCAAAGAAAGATGCCATTTTTCCTCATTGTAAAAACACTGACAGAACTCTGAACAGCTTCTAACTACCACAATGAGGTCACATGACCTAGAGCAGAGAGGTCTCTGACCAAAGCTGATTAACTTTTGGAGCCATTTTGGTTCAAGGTGGCTGCCACAGCTACCTCTGAAAATTCAAAATCGACTATAACGTTTTGAGCTGTTGAGCTGAAATTTGGTGTGGTGGTAGCTGAGAGAGAGTTATAATCCTAATGCAAATAAAAAATCCAAGATGGCTGCCTTAGCGAAAAGGAAAAAATGCTAAGCTAATTTCAAATTGATATGTCTCAGAGGGTTTTAGAGTTACTGAACTGAAATTTGGTCTACTGGAAGCTGAGAATGATCCCCAGTAGACTCTGACTGCCAATCAAAAATTCAAGATGGCCGCCCAAGCTAAAAATGAAAAATACTAAGTCATTTTAGATATTAAGCTGCAATTTGGTGTGGTGGTAGCTGAGAGAGCGTTATAATCCTGATGCAAATAAAAAAATCCAAGATGGCCGCCTTAGCGAAAAGGAAAAAATGCTAAGCTAATTTCAAATTGATGTAATTCCGAGGTTTTTAGAGTTACTGAACTTAAATTTGGTGTACTGGTAGCAGAGAACAATCCCTAATAGACTCTGACTGCAAATCAGAAATTCAAGATGGCCGCCTGAGCTAAAAATGAAAAATACTATAAGTTATTTTAGATATTAAGCTGAAATCCGATGTGGTGGTAGCTGAGAGCAATGCCCAATAAATACTGAATTCAAATAAAAAATCAGAGATGGCCACCATAGCTTGAAAGAAAAAATGACTATAAGTCATTGAATTTTTTCCATATTGCGCTGAACTGTTGGTGTAGTGGTAGCTGAGAGCGAAGTATATCTTTTAATCAGTCCCAGGTGGTTATTATGTAAAATCAGCAACACATGAGTAGGAGCAAAAACTGTACCAGAAGTAGTTTGCTCAATAAATTAAGGTAAAAGCTGTGGTTGCATTATTAGCTGTTGTGCTGATTTCTAGTTTTTAATATTTTCTGATTTAAGTTGAGCCATCCAGCTTTAGTAGCAGTAAAAGTAGCTGAAGCAGTAGGTTGGCCAGTAATCAGGAGCAATAATAGAAACAGCTGTGAACGGCAGCAGTTAAATGACTGTACAAGTAACAAAAGTACCACAATTGATTAGAGAGCCAACGTTAAGCAGTTGGAAACCTTTAGGAAGGATTTCAGCACGCTTTTGTGCCCATGGGACTGCAATTCTGCAAACAGAGCAGAAATCTTCTGTTACTAAAATGTAGTTCTTCTCAGTTACTCCATCCTGTGTTCTCAAATTATATGCATACATCTGTTTTTTATGTGCACAGCGTTTAAGATCACTTAGCTGCCATATGGTTGATTAACAGACTAAAGCCTTTATACAAAAAAGGTACAGTATTCTCTTTGTATCTCGTAGCCAAGATCGTTTCAATTTCTTATACTTGGAACATCTTAACGTTCTGATCTGTGTGTTTTAATTTTTATATGTGCTGAAGTTTTGTTTAACTTTGTTGGAACTGTTTGACATTGGTCAAACAAAAAAATCTACTCGCTACCTTTCATCTATCGATCCATCTATCTTCTACTGCTTTTAAAACCTGGGTGCAAAGTATGCAGTTCTGGATCTCAGAACTCCCTCTGCTCATCCAGTCCATCTGGAAGGACTGTAAAGTCCCAGGTCAGCTTTCAAGTGTGCTGTCCTGAATAAAATTATTGTACCCATTTTGTTAAAGAAAGAAAAAACACGCAATGGTCACTGAACTGAACTTAAAACTGGAAAAAAAAAGTCGTAAAAATTTCTAAATGACAAAATATCCGAAAATTCCACTATTGCTTTTGACTTTTTCTGGTTCATTGAGGTTTAAAGAATCACATAATTCACAAAAAACATCCGTGTAATCCAAAGCCTCCAGAACAGGAGGCTATCTCCCCCCATGGCTGAACCTTGAACTTGTGCCCATAAAAATGACAAACATCAGTGACGATGGGCAGCCATGGCAGAGTTCACCTCCTACTGGAAACATTTCCACATTCCACCTGTTCATCTTTTAAGCCCATGGCATTAAGTCACTTTATTATATCCACTCTGTGCTTCGTCTTGTTGCTCCAAGGTTTGACTGGTTTGTGTCCATTCCAGCAAAGCTCAACTTGATGTATAGATATTTTTTTTAATCAAAGTCTTTATATTGATTTTTTATGTTATTTTAACAAACAAACAAAAGAAGACACAGAACAACGATGACAAAAAAAAAAAAAAAAACTCCTATACCGGATCTGTCATACACGTAAATAAACTAAACACCCTTCAGGGTATATCTTGTTTTTTTCCCAGATGGATATGATACATCACCTCTTATCCAATGTACATATGCTGAGGTTTCTGGGTACTTCCAGTTACACAGAACCAGTCTTCTGGCCAGGACAGAGCCAAAAGCAATCACATCCTCCTTTTACCTTCTGAAGGACGTAACAGGGACCACCCCAAACAGTGAGATGAAAGGTGATGGGTGTACAGTATTTCCGTATATCTCAGAGAAGGTATCAAAAATAAATTGCCAAAAGGTCTGCAGGACAAGTCCTGAATGTATGCAGGAGTGGAGCTGGAGTTTGTTTACAGTGATTACATGCAGGATCCAGGTTGGCTTTGATCTTGGACAGCTTGTCTTTGGACCAGTGCAGCCGGTGCACTACCTTGAATTGAATTGCAGTATGTCTCAGACAAATTGAGGATGAGTAAATGTTCTTAATGATCCTTCTCCATGTTGAATCTGATATGGTTTCATCCAGGTCTGTTTCCCATTTCAGTTTAAGGGAGTCCAAACTGGTCTTATGGTATGAACTGAGCAGTGTATAGATCTTACTAAGGGCCCCCTTGCTATCGGACCTGCAGTCCAAAATCTTAGCCACAATATGTTTAGAGGGGTACAAAAGAAAACAATCAGAGTTAGACCTCTGTATATAAATTGTTTTAATGGGATTAATTGCCACTGCCTTTCTGCCTCCCCCATCTGGCACCCAAACCAGTCCTTAGAGTAGCTAGAAATTGACAAGAAAAATGTAAAAGTTGGTAATAATTTCCTTCCTAATACATCAGTTCACACATGGCCTGAATGTGAATGATTATTGTTGCACAGTTTAATTTTTGTGCTGAAGTATGGACTTTGATAAAACACTGCAACAACTACTCCTGACAGCTTGCTTATAGCCATCTGACTAATTCTGTGAGGCTGCACTCAAATGCCTAGCACTGCTTTGAGCTGAATGACAATGCCAGTGTGCCAAAAATATTCACAAAAACAAAAAATTGCTGACAATGAGCAGATGGCTACAATGCACAATTAATGCCAGTGATGTATGTAGGGCCTTCAGTGTTGCAGATGTGGCCTTCCTAACTGGGTTAAATCACAATGGTAACTTATGATGCACACCTGCTCCAGAGAAAATTGTGTACCATTACAGACCTAAACTGAACCCCACTGCTTTTGTTCTCCGTTATATTCATCATGAACCTTTTGGATTCTCAGTTGAAGGGATAAATTTTAGACGATGAATTGTGTAGCTATTGGAAATTTATTATAGTCCGTTAGTGATTTTTGGACATAGTTGTTTCCAGGTCAGCTTTGTACTGCTTAGTTTGTACTTCAGTCTTTAATAAGATGTTGGATTTACTTCCATTCATGTCTGTAGCCTAACTCTGAATTTTATTCTATTCAATTCAGTTTATTTATATAACACCAAGTCACAACAGAAGTCATCTCAGGGCACTGAACATTCATATATATATATATATATATAAATATATAAATAAGTTAATAACATTAATTATCTGAGGAGCAGACTGCTTTGAGTTTAAATTCATCGCAGACTCTCATCCTAAACGAAATTAAAGGCAACAGTGGAAATGAAAAACTGTGCTGGAGGAAAAAACCTCCATCAGAACCAGGATCAGGACAAGCGACCATCTGCTTTGACTGGCTGGGTTTGAGAGGATAAGAAGGAGGAATAGATACACAATGGCAGGTCGAGAATCACGTTAAAATAGAAATAGTATCAAATGAAAACTATTCAATTGTAACAATTCATTTAAGGAAATTAGGTAAATTTGTCCTCTAGTAGGCTAACCTATGACAGCATAACAAGCCAACCCTAACTATAGGATTTATCATAATGGAAAGTCTTAAGCCCAGTCTTAAAACTGGACAATGTGTCAGCGTCACGGACAGAAACTGGAAGTTGGTTCCACAAGAGAGGAGCCTGATAACTGAAAGCTCTGTCTGCCATTCTGCTCTTGGAAAGTATAAGAACCACAAGTAAGCCTGCAGTCTGAGAGTGAAGTGCTCTGTTAGGAAAATATGTTGCAATAAGATCTGCAATATAAGATGGAGCTGGGTTGTTTAGGGCTTTGTAGGTTAGAAGCAAGATTTTGAATTCAATTCTGGACTTGACAAGGAGCCAATGGAGAGAAACTAAAACTGTAGAGATATGACCTCTCCTACCAACTCCCTTTAAGACTCTGGCAGCAGAATTTTGGATCAGCTGAAGACTTTTTGAATAAGTTTTTGGATACCCAGATAACATACCATTGCAACCATTCTAAACTTGACCTTTGCCAATACTTGCCTAACCCTAACTGAAACTCAATGCAAACACACATCTTAGCCCTAAACCTTACACTGCACTCAGAAATTATATTCCACCACATAGGATTGGACTTTCATCCCTGTAAGGACTTCTACCCCTGATGGAGTAGGTGATTAAACCAGAAAATATCCTCAAAAGGTTTTAGTTTGATGTTTTTTGCTGATGTTCAGCCTCAAAAAGTTGTTCTTACTCTGTAAAGGTCGTGCCACATACTTACTGTATTTATCTCTTCCAGTTGTCCTCCAGGCCTGCTGCTTGGTCTTGTACCCCATCAAGTTCATCGAAAGCATCAACCTGAGGATCTACCATGAGTTCAACTGGGGCTACGGCCTCGCCTGGGGAGGGACCATCTTTTCCTTTGGTGGGGCAATCCTCTATTGTCTCAACCCCAAAAGCTACGAGGAGTACTACTAACTGGGGACTTTAGAGTCATGGGGTGGGAAGGTAAACTACAGTAGATGAGAGGGTCTTATTACCAGCTCCGTTCCCTCAAACTAGGGAATCTAGGGAATATTAGACATTGGATCTTAGTCTCTAATGGTGCTGACACAAGGCTTGGAGTCAGTGGTTTCAGACTTGTAAAACAGACTCCAGAGAACTGATGTAACAAAAGGTGGCAATTATAGCTGACAACTTTGTCCACATCTTTAATTTCCAAAACAAATAGTATTACGTTGCAACAATTCAAGCTTTTGGCTCAGTTAAGTAGCAAACAGACTGTAATGGAGTTTCAGGGCATTAATGTATGTGTTTGTATGCCAACGCATGTGTTTCTTCACATGTAGAGATCCAGTGTTTAGGCTTCAAGCATCACATCTGCTCCATCAGTTGGATCATAGTTATTGTTAAGGTAGCTTTTGTGCCGTTTTGCTTTCTGTGAAGTTTCTAAACTTTCACAAGGACGTGGAAATGGGTCAGATGCTGCGGTTACACCTCATAACTTTTTGGAAGGCCGATTCATCCTGAGGGAAAGTGATGGGATGGGTAAAATAAAGACACCCACTCAATATTCTGTTATCGACCAGGTTGTCTGTTACCACGGCAACCCACAGGGAGCGCACATGCTGCTGTCATGATTGATTACCCACGGTTGGATGTGCAAGACAAGACGGTCTTTTGCGACCTCCGAGCGTTTTCTACGTTTCGATTGCCCATCAAGCAGTTTCTCAGAATGTGTCTTTTGATGTACCACTCTTCCTTCTAGTCCATTCTTTGTTTTGTATAACCGTTCACTTTAAGCACCACTTTTTTGTCCATGAGTGGCTGTCTTAGCAGCAGTGTATTAAGTCTGAATGTAATTATGCACTCAGCTGAAGTAAAAATGTGTTCTAACTTTTGAGTGCATGCATACTTTCTCTCAATTTGTGGCCACATTTGGCAAAATAGTCTATTTCTTTCTCAGCTGTGGCATTAAGTCCACTGGTCATGTTCATTACCGCCATCTACACACCTTTTCCTGTGCACAAAATGGCATTTATTAAGGCAGAATATACAAAAATTGGGGACAGATCTAGAAATTATTCATTTTTTGGGTGAAAGTTGACTTTCAATCACTCTTTAAGAAAACAGCCAGTGTACCAAACCTTCTGAATGTCTGTGTCTACTCGTACTGTTTGGTTTTAAAGATCATGGAGGACTTGTACGTGCCACACTGTGCAAGCTTGTTATGATGAAGTTGTCTAGGGTTGCAAAATTCTGGGAAATTTCAGGCTAAAAAAAATTTCTATAGGAGTTCATGGAAATGTAAGGGAATAAACAGGGATTTATGGGTAATTTTAAAATTAAAGGCTGGCTCTTGCCATAGATTTTAAGTATAGTTACTGAAAATATAATTAGCATGACTTTGATTAAAACAGCCTTTGCTGCACCATGCATTGAGAGGTACTACAAAACTTTGGGTCAATCTCGTTCTTGACATTATCTGCCTATTGCAAAACAAAGTATTTACATTTTTCTTTGAATATGAAACAATTTATCCCCAGTTTCCAGTTGTTTCACACAAATTCCCAATATTCACATGTAAGACATTTTGAAATACCGTATATACACAAGTTCAAAAGGTTCTGGAAAGTTTACAGAAATTTCCACCGCTTTTTTATACTAGAAATAACCCATGTGACTCTACAATGCAGGTTTAATAGATTTGTTGGACTGTACAATTTCCTGCCACAGCACAGTCAGTTATGTTACAAAGATCCAACCGCGATATCAGTCTAACAATAAAAGGAAATGAAGTGCTTGTACTGACGCTACATGGATTGCATTTACAGAGTACCTTTCAAATCTTTCTGACCACTCAAAGTGCTTTTCCACTACAAGTCACATTCAGTCTTTGCCCTGGGAGACTTGGACAGATGGAGTGGAAGCTGAGACTGAACCGGCAAACATCCGCTCTCCCCCATTGTTAAATTTAGTCTCTGAAAAGACAGGGAGGAGACTGAGGAAAATCCCTCAAGCTCACAGACGAAGATTTTCTTATGATTCTTTCACAACAAAATATTTAGTCAACGATGGACAAAAATCGCACAATGTCAATGTTCATTCAAGTCAGAACAAGCGATAAACTGATATCCCTCGTTGAGGAGAGATTTGAATGTAGTTTTGTTAGGAGTGCTTTTCTGGACTGGAGTTGAACAAGTAAATTGTAATGTTTTTGGTACAAGATATTCAAGTGTGTAGGAGTTACACTGTGTATAAATACAATGGTAGGTCTGTTTTGGACTGTCTAAAGCAGAGTGTCAATACCGGCAAGTAGAGGGTGCAATTTTATTCGCCACCAGGTGCAATGGTGGAGCCAGGGGGTGACCGATGGCGGCATTGGCCACCAAAGATTAATCTTTGGCCACCAAAATCACTTGAGGGGGCCGGTATGGGGTAGAGGTAGGGCAGCCAACTTGGGACAGGAAGCCGTGGTTCAACTCCCAGCCATTCCCACATGTCGTGGTGTCTCTGAGCACAACCCCCAATCCCCAATTGCTCCCCGGGCGCGTACATAGCTGCCCACTGCTCCACCTGGGTGTGTCTCAGGTGTGATGGGTTAAATGCAGAGAACTAATTTTACCATTGTATGGGAACATACAATGATGACAATCTCAGACGTCCCTTCCCTCCCACATACAAGCAAGCATAAAACCATAAAATCAACAGATACCATAAAAGTAATGAACTACCAAAATCATAAAAACAGTAAACAGTGAACACAATAAAACCAATAAAACAAATAACTTGAAAACCATAAAAGCAACATTTCAAGCTGTTATAAGCCAAAGAGAAAAATGTATCTTCAGAGAAGATTAAAAAACAGGAAGTAAATGAACTGTACTTATACTGTATAGCGCCTTTCTATCTTATCAAGATACTCAAGGCTCTTTACAACACAATCTGTGCCCTCATTCATACAGAACTCTACTAGATCTCTACAAAGCTACTTGAACAAATCATTCTAAAGAGACTAATCTGTGCTTTATCACATTCATACACCGATGGGACACACATCAGAGGCAATGAGGGGTTCAGTGTCTTGTCCAGGGACACTTCAGCATGTGACTGCTGGTGGATTTGAACCCCCAACTCTTGCGTTGGAGGACGACTGCTCTAACCACTCATCCACAGCCACCCCATTGAGTCAGCTTGTCTGACGCGTAAAGGTAGCTTGTTCCACAGTTTAGGGGCAGCAACTGAAAATGCTCACTCACCTCTGGATGGATGGATGGATGGATGGATAGATGGATGGATGGATGGATGGATGGTGTTGGCCATATTGGATTTTGACATGGAAACCCAATTTTCAATAGTGATATTTCGTACGCCTAGATGTAGCCACACACCAAAATAGAAGTTGGTACCTCTCTTCACAAGATGAACAGATGGATGATATTTCCAATTTCCCGCTTTGATTCTCAACGGAGGACAAAAAGCAGAAGAGTAGGTATAACACAGTAGATTATACACTTGTGTCTAAATCGAGGACATCAAAATTGTGGGTGCAGTTCCTCTACCGGTCACTGATGTCTTCAAACAAGGCAAAAACTCTAGTGCAATCGAGATGACCTGATGTGAATCTGCGCTATCTAAATAAAGTAAAATAAGTAGAAAATTTCTGAGGAAGAACAAATAAACATCATTAATGTCAATGAAAAAATAAAAGAGAGGGCATTGCTGGATTTATCACACCAAACAACAATTTTCAGTGGGCACGCGAGGATGCAAAGGAAATGACTGTAACAAACGATTCATGAAATTTGTTTCATAAGACCAAACTACTGTCTGGCTGGTAACTGTAAATGTCGGGGAACTGCACTGCACCCGAGAGGGCGTAGCTTCTGGACAATGACAAAGATTTTCATCTACTGATTTGTGCCAGGAAAGCAAATGTCAAAATCGATTGATGCAAGGCCACATATCGGTAAAAAAGAAGCATGGTATTTTCCATCAAAGAACCGCCACGTGTACATAAAAGATCATCTGATATAGCTTCCATGGGCCAATTAGTTAATATGAACTAAAGCCATGTTTATTTCATCTGCTGTATTTTCCTAACTTCTAAGCTTGACCAGTCTGGATTCATTGAGTGACTCAGTCTTGAGCATTTCTTGTGTACGTCTCACTTTCCCATTCCCTTTTTCAGGACACTCCTCAAATGGTCACAGGTACTTTTTTCCCTTTCTTTTAATTGTCTAAAAGTTTAATACATTTATCTATTTCCAGTGTCCAAATTCTCTTTACTAACCTTGTTACCTCTTTTCCCCAGGATGGGAACACAGAATAGAAATCTCAAGCTTTTATTAGGGGATTCATACAGCAGCATTCTTTTGCTGTACAGTACTCTCTATTGTCACATATTTACGGTAGTACTGTCAAGCAAGCGTCATCCAAAAATAGGAACCAGGCTGCCTCCCCTGCCACCTTACCAAATAAAGAGCTGTACGGCTGTCACTAGTCTTCAAGGAACCGAAAAATGTCTATTTATTTTGTATAAACTCGCTCAATATTTGGCACAGATCAAAACCTTTTACTCAGAAAGGTTTATAAGGCCTTTTTAGATACCTCCCTCTTTTAACATTGGTGGTACATTATTGATAATGAAGCAACTTGACTGTTTTTTGCTTCGTTTTTGTTGAAGTTTGTTAGGAAAAACTGTACTGATGGTTTTATACAGTTAAATATGGTAATTTTTGTTACTTATCTGATGGCATTAACTGTTTGTTTACATACCATTTATGCTGATTTAGCATTGACTTACAATTAGTACGAAATGCACTAATATACATTTAATAAATCTGTTGTAAGGTCTAATTGAAAACAATTTTTATACAGCAAAATGACAAAAATACACAGATTCTGACACATTGCCTTAATGTGGCTTAATGGATTGGTGAGAACATATAGGCTCAAGCTGAACTAAGACTAATGAACAAAGGAGTTGATGAT